AGGCTGAACACCAAAGATCGACCATCGTCATCGGTTATTGGTCAACGAGTCGGATTCAAGGTAGGCCAACTCCAGCATTCGTCCATTGAATTTGTTCTGCAATAACTACTTGCAGCTGATTTGGACGGCTGTCGAGGGCCTTTTCGATGAGCTGAATCCCACAACCGCTCTCTCATCATCTGAACAGCACCGCAGAGCTCATCAATTCGACACCTGCACACAGTTCACTTGCCAAGGAGGACAAATATGCGTGGAACAGGTCAGACATATCCGGTATTGATTGAATGGGTATAGGACAAATAGGGGTCTGTTCCAGTAAGGAGGGGCATTAGGGTGTATAGACTCCTCTATTGCAATTTGCTTGAAGAGCCCTCGGAGATTCCTAGCCTGTTGCGAAGGAGGAAAGCGTGAGAGTCGAACGTGGTGGTCGGGGGTCAGAGTAGGGAGAGAGGGTCGCATCAAGACTCTCTTAAAGGGAGAGATTCCCAAAGGAAAAAGCAACGCGACAGGTTGACCCTGCTCCTGTTTCTCTTCCTCCATTCCTCTTAGAGTTTATCCCTGAACATTCACAACGAAAGAATTTGTTCGTCGTGATTTTGAACGCGTCGAACTCTCTGCACCTCAGTGCCCCTTCCCCTAAATGAACCCCGAATGAGGCTGTGAAATTTGGAGTTTGACCCAGATCTTTAATTTTTTCAGGATCAAGGTGTATGCGCGATGCGACCACAATTGTGCATCCATTCTTCGCTTGTGTGTAACGGTGTGCAAAACTGCGTCGAAGGTGATGATAGCGACGAACAACACTGTAAGTGACCATGCTTGATTTCATTTTTATAACTATATTTATATAATATGAATCATGGGCTAAGCCACATGACCAAGTTGGCTTGGTCCTGAGCAGGGACAAGCATTACGTTGGAAAATATTAGCCGTCTCGGTAGACGGAGGTGAGGGGGGGGGGGGTGGCGGTGAAGGATGTATCGTAACGTTCCAAATGTTGGAAAATACGAAGTTTTAGAAACTTCTCGAGATCATGAGAAAATCTCCTGCATTAAAGCTTTGGCCCTTTCCATTTCCTTCTAAAACGTTAGGTCATTTGACCAATCCTTCCAATGAACAAGGTTGCTAGGTCCGCAATTGTAGCGGTAGTGCCAAAATCGTGAATCAAAACGCGCTGTAGATGAGCGACCAATTTAAACACACCATGATATGGCCATGGATGTCGACCAGGACCCAACCATGTGCTTTGCCTAATCAAAAAATCTAACGAACCGCACCTCCTTACGGTGGGGAGGGGGGGAGGGCCGCGATACGATCCCTCACACCGCGATCAAGCCGTGGGCGAGGTTCCGATATCCCGATACGTTCTTCCACAACCATCCAAACCCTCCTGCCCCACCGCCATATCATAGGAAAGTCCTTCAACATACGACCTCCTTCCCCATCCAGAGCGCTGCTCGACCCTCACAGCTGTTTCTATATTATTTGTACCTGAGAACAGTCGACACAGCAGCCCAACAACTCCGCCCCTTCTTCTTCCAATGTGGTCGCGACGAGTGGCGGGGGGGGGGTGAATTTGCCCACAAGAAATGGCAAATCTCATATCTGACTAACATAGTTACACCTAATAATTGAATTCGTGCTTATTTTTTTTTTCTCCCAAAATTTCGAGAAAAAAGCGTCTTAAAGGACCCCCCCCCTCTACTGCCACCACGACTCCTTCGAACCTTTTGACCTTTACCTACACCAATACGATCACCTACAGAAAACTCAAATACGCCCCTCCCCGCCCTCACCCTGCAGAGAACTACGCAACACACGGTTGACCTTGCGTAGGACCCATGCAGCAACGCTCGACGGTGGGGAATGCGTCGTAGTCTGCGTCTCGCTCGTCCGCCATGCTTTCTCGAACCTCAAGCCAGTCTATAACTTCGTATAATAGTGCTCCCGCGGACTTTCGCTTCGCAGGACTTCCGTCCATCACCCAGGAAAATGAGGAATTCAAACAATCTTCTGAAACAAGGTCTCTTCTTTCTCTCTTCGGTGCAAGATCAGTTGACCCCCTTGCTCCGTATTTGCTCGCTAGAAAAAAACACGGCGCTTCAGAGCCTGAATTGATTTCAGTGACGCTAGTCTCGGAATGATTATGAATATGAAGTTATTTTCAGGTTACTCGCGTGAGATCATCGCCGGCTCGTTGGGTGGTTTTCTCGTGTTGATGGCGATCATCTTCATTTGTGTGTGCTGTGACCAGTGGCGTAAACGACGTCGTCTGCGCAAAATGCTGCGTGAACGACGCGCAGTCGCCAACGGCAAGACGCAGCGCGCGTTCAGACACGACGTGCATCTGAACCACGACATCGGATTCGATCGTGTCGATGTCGCCGCCGCAGCCACGCTGCGATACGCCGCGCACTGCGACGAGAACGACGTCGCGCTGCCGCGATACAACCGCGGTCTGCCGCCGCGACCGCCGCCTCGGTGACAATTAGAGAGCGAACTTTGATCGCGGAACAGATTTCAGGCAGGTGGCTTAGCAAGTCAAGTGTCCCATATTTTGTGAACGGATGAATAATGCGTCACTAATGGGACAGCTCTCTACAATGCCTACCTAAAACTGCCAGTTGTGGTGCCAATTGCCAATCTATAGTCAACAATCGATTTCTGTGAAATGAATGCAATTTTTAGCCACTTGAGCCCCATTTCCGATCAAAACGATTACTTGAAGTTACCGCGATCAAGGCTCGCTCTGGAACGCGTCTGTATCCCTCGTGCCTTGGAATACGTTATCGATTTTTCCGCATATTACCTTAGTATTTATATTTCACATGTGTTTATGGTTAGGTACTGTTTCAATGCAGTTCAACACTAGAGAACTACCGAAATCGGCAACACTCGGAAATTGTTCCTCTGTGATCCACCCGCAGCGTTGCTATGCTGAAAGATTTTTCGGGATCCCGTCATTCGTTTTCCGGTTTCCGGGTTACGGTAATTACGGGTTACGGTAATTAGGGAGGTTGTCTAAGAAATGGATCTGTCCAAGTAGAACGAAGGAAACTCTCAACGCTCTGCATCTGAAGAACCGAACTCGCTCCTCTCAGCTACATATAGAGATTCTGAAACAGTAAAATCTCCACATTTCGTTTATTTCGACTGATTTTCGTATGAAACTTTTTGCTCTCTTCCCCAAAAAACGCCCCCTTCCTCATAATGACCTCACCTCCTTTTTCCGTCCCAAACCCTTTTAAAACCGTAAACACGACCCCATCGTTGACAAATTACTAGCGGACGGTTGACTCTACGCCGCTCTCCTTAGCGCAGTCAAACGGTCCGCGAACACAGGTACGGTCCCTCCTCCAAATATCCCTTACGTTCTCCCCCCTCCCTCACCTCATTGAACTTGTCACAACGGACCGTTGACCCTGATCCAAGTACAGTCCTGAAAGTTGCACCGAGTTCTGACTTTCGCTCGATTCCCTCACTGGCCGGTCATTGACGCTACCAAGGACTGAGTCGCCTAGATTAGTGCTGAAACCTCGCCTGCAGGACACGGAAATTCGCATTTCCCTATGGCAGGTTTTGGTTGGTTGTAGGTTCGATTCCGATCCAAATCCTATTTTTAGTCGCCCCTGGGCAAAGCTTTAGACATGAAGAACGCACTGACTAATTATACCCACACCATAGCAACGCAAAGCGGCCCACTTAGGCCGCTGTCAGACTTTGCGAATCCAGCGATTCGCTGGTAGCGAGTCCGCGGAGTCGCCGCTGGCGAATCGCTGGATTCGCAAAGTCTGACTCCGGCTTTGAACAGACTCGTCGATGTTTCTCTGAAATTTTCTCTCGTTAAGTGTTGCTCTGCATTGAATTACCTTCATATCTGTCCCTATAGAGGATTTTTGCTCAAAAATGCTTTGAAGATGTTACTTTGATTGTTTCTATGTATACATATGTATATTTCATATAATCACTCAACCGTCACATCACATTGAACCGATCTCATGGCCGCGTTCGTGTCGACGTGCAGCGCTTTCCGTATTTGCGCAGCGCAGCGCATATTGCTCAGTGTTGTCGAATAGAGAAAATTAATGCGTTTATACTTACTAGTTTTATGTAAGATTGCAAGTAGGTGATTATAAATGTGTTCGAATAAATGCTTCGAAAAGTTCCGTCTTCGAACTCGAATTGGCCCTATACTCAACTATGGATAGTTAAGAAATTATGAGACGAGGACGAGCCAATTCCCACGATTGTAATATGTGGGTAGTGGGGTTCAAAAAAGAAAATGTGAGTGCTAAGCGACTCGTCACCCAAGAAAAAAAAGATAAGTTGGAGCATGTCTGAATAATGCCAAGCTCATTTTGAGAATTGCAGCCTGTATCGAAGAAATACTGTGCACCGGAACGAAGAAGCAGACAACGCAAGTAGGAAGGGGGTGGAGACGAGCAAGACCCACACATTGCAAGCGACTTCATCTCAAAAGCACATCACCGGTGATGGGTGTAGTTGCCATGACATTATTTTATTAGCGAAAGGACCTAAAGGCATGGATCACGATCTATAGAGTTGGAAAGAAAGTCCGTCCCAGTCCAAGACAGCAACACTTTTTCTCATTTTGGATTTAATTTTCTTTTTTGTTTACAACTCCTGACCGGTCATATATCTACCATGAGTGTCCACCACTTGTCCAACGCTCAGAAAATTTCTTGATGCTCCTTTGCCAAAACCCAGCGGAGTGCGGTCGAGAAAGGAGGCGACCTCACTTTCGAGTTGGAGTTGATCGTCTAATTATTTCGTTATCAAGATGATGATTTAAGGTCCAGGATAGGTGGCAGTCATTTATAGCTCGACCAGGGGAATACGCTAAGAGAGGTAAGAAATCTTGCCGCAGCTCCAGAATTTCTTACCGGGCTCATTTCGGATCATGGTGATTCGCAATGTCATGAAAGAAATAAATATTGTCGCGGTACGAGGGCTCCTGACGAGCTGCCTCGGCCAGCTTCTGGAGTTTCCGCAGCCTAGACCTCTACCTACACAATGGTGCCCATAACGAAGAATTTGTAGTGGAGCTTCCGTAAGAGCCCTACCTGTAATGGAGTGTGAGGGACGCTGCTGGCTTCTTATAAAAATATCAAAAGATCGAAAGCGCTGGTAAAGGTGAAACACGCTGTAGCGGTGAACGACATGCCTATTGAAGCTATTGCAGATAGTGTTGGTCTTTGACACGAATCCATAGTTATGGAGACATTTGTACTAGACAGTGACTCGGAGTATGGATTTACTAGTGGTCGAGGTTTTTGAATTTTCTTGGATAACTACTGACTGCAGCACTTATATCCACCTCGTGGATTGAAGCCTCGAGAATGCTCTATCATTTGGTAGTCATAAATGTTACCTATGAATTTTTCAGAAAAAAAAAAGAAAATTTTAGAAAGAGTGTTGCAGAACTTTCTTTCAACCTAATAGTAAATGAGTTATTTTGTATAAAATAAGCAAAAAGTGTGATAAAAAAACGCTCTAGAAAATACTGAAATTTTCTTGCGAGGTCGATGTTGTACGTTTGTGAGCAGAGGAAAAATGGGAGGATCTCTGCCATAGTTCAATAGCTCGGGACCCATAGTTCACGATAAGAACGAAAAGAACAAAAAATTGCATTTGTTTTGGTAAAAAATTCGAAAAACCGAAAGGGCTGCTACGCGTTCAAAGTACCGCCGGACATCTGTCACAAATGCTGGCGACGGGAATGCTTCCACTTGGTTCTTGGAGTGCCTCACTAGAAACTCTTTCTGGCCTTTTGACTTATTGCATTCACATCTCACACTTCTACTGCATCCTATTCTATCGATCGATTTGTCTCTACTCTCCGAAATCGCGCGCTTTAACCCGATTCTTTCATTGCGTCGCCTGATACGTAGCCGCCCAAGGCGGACTTCTTTCCATGCCTCGCCTTTGGCTCCGCGCCTTTTACCTTCGATTGTCCATAGAGTGTAGTTTTTGTAAGTTTGTTTCTCTTCGGAAACCGAATCTTCATGCGTGAAACTTTGTGTGTTGTTTCCAGTGATCACAACTGACATATTCATGTTGGGAAAGAATGCAAGAATTTTCCGCGAAGGATTCCTTTGAAGAAAGTATTTTTCTAAGAATCTAATCGTGACCTGTGCCTTCAAAGGATCTGCGTTATACCTTACATAGTATCATGGAATCAGCACAACCTGAGTGCTTGTGAGCCGGCTTATCTTTTTCACCAGTTTAGCTCCGCACGCAACCGCGCGCATCACATGGTGGGCTTTAGTGAAACTGGACAACTTGCAGAATATTAGGTCACGTGGCTGAGAAACTAACAGTAAGATGTTTGGAAGATGTGTCACATGAAGTTTAAAGGTTGTCCAATTTTGCTGAAGATTGTCGCGTAATGCGCGCAGTAGCATGCGGAATGAAATGGTACTTATCATGACTTCGTAAACATTTAGCATTGATATCGAGCTCGGGCGATTTAGCGGTTTATAGAATTTCCACAATTGAAGAATCGGTGTGTAAGTGAAATATAAAAA